AAAACAAATAAACAAATAAATAAGTGGTTATAATAGAAAAATAAAAATAAAACAAAATATGGGATAATCTGAAATATTCTCTTCCATTTTTTTAAATTTGAACAACAGAAGCTGTTACCTGTCCTACCTTACTCCTAAACACTGAAACCCAGAAAGAAAAAACAAGGGACAAAAAAACCAAACCATTTTACACTCCTACAAAATTACACATATTTATATTTCAAAGAATCATTGCATTCTAATTATTCACAGTACTGCTATGACTTTTCACTCTACTTTGAATTTCTTCCCCTTAATAGCAAGTCTCCTTGCTTTCTCTTTTAATGTAGCAATACTACAGAATCTAAAAGAAGAAAGGTAAAGAAAGAGAGAAAGAAGGATAGACTGAGAGTGAAAAGCCTGACAACTGTGTAACAAACAAGAACATAGTAGAAAAAAAATGTATTGTACTGAAGCTGAAAATTCTTTTTGAAAAATGTCAGAAGACCAGGTAGATTATTAAGCAATACAGTAAGATAATTATTTGTTTGCCTTGTTTGTACAATATTAACTACCTAATTTGTAAGGCATGGTGATAGAATTTAAATGCTAATAAAATCTTAACTGAGCTGATGTAATCACAACAAAACAGATTTTATATGAGTACATATCCTGTGTGGAAGGAACAAAATACCCAGCAGGACCAGAACCCTGGACTTCCACAGGGCAAACTTTGGTCTCCTCAATCATCTATTAAGGGAAATCCCATGGGACAGGGTGCTAGAAAATAAAGGAGCTCAAGATAGCTGGTCAACATTCAAGGACCACTTCTTGCAAGCACAGGATCAGAGTGTCCCAATGGTTAGGAAATCTAGTAAGGGTGCTAGGAGACCTGCATGGTTAAAGAAGGAACTACTGGGCAAACTTAAGTGGAAAAGGAAAATCTATAGATCATGGAAGGAGGGGCTGGTCACTTGGGAGGAATATAGGACTGTTGTCAGAGGATGTAGGGAGGCAATTAGGAAAGCTAAGGCCTCCTTGGAACTTAACCTTGCAAGTCAGGTTAAGGATAATAGAAAGGGCTTTTTCAAGTACATAGCTAGCAAAACTAGCAATAGAGGCAATATTGGCCCATTGAGGAATGAGGTGGGAGCCCTGGTGACAGAGGATATAAAGAAGGCAGAGGTGCTGAATGCCTTCTTTGCCTCTGTCTTCACTCCTGCAGGGTCTCCCTATGAGCCCCAGATTCATATAGCCCCAGAAGAAGTCAAGATAGAGGAAGAGTTTGACATGGTAGATGAGGATTGGGTTAGGGATCAGTTGAGTAATCTGGACATCCATAAATCAATGGGTCCAGATGGAATGCACCCAAGGGTGCTGAGGGAGCTGGCGGAGGTCATTGCTAGGCCACTCTCCATCATCTTCAGTAAATCATGGGCAACAGGTGAGGTGCCTGAGGACTGGAGGATAGCAAATGTCACTCCAGTCTACAAGAAGGGCAAGAAGGAGGACCCGGGTAACTATAGACCGGTCAGCCTCACCTCCATCCCTGGAAAGGTGATGGAACAACTTGTTCTTGTCACTATCTCCAGGCACATCAAGGACATGGGGGTCATCAAGAGCAGTCAACATGGTTTTATCAAGGGTAAATCATGTTTGACTAACCTCATAGCCTTCTATGAGGAAATTACTAGGTGGATAGATGATGGTAGAGCGGTAGATGTGGTTTATCTTGATTTCAGTAAAGCATTTGACACCGTCTCCCACAGCATCCTTGTGGATAAGTTGATCAGGTATGGGTTTGGTGACCAGGAAGTGAGGTGGATTAGGAACTGGTTGAAAGGAAGGAGTCAGAGAGTTGTAGTCAATGGGGTAGAATCTGGTTGGAGGTGTGTTACTAGTGGAGTCCCACAAGGGTCGGTGCTGGGACCGGTGTTGTTCAACATCTTCATCAACGACCTGGATGAGGGTATAGAATGTACCCTCAGCAAGTTTGCTGATGACACTAAGCTGGGAGGAGTGGCTGACACACCAGAAGGCTGTGCTGCCATTCAGAGAGACTTAGATAGGTTGGAGAGTTGGGCGGGGAGAAACATGATGAAATTCAACAAGGGGAAGTGCAGAGTTTTACATTTGGGGAAGAACAACACCATGTCCCAGTACAGGTTGGGGGCTGAACTGCTGGAGAGTAGTGTAGGTGAAAGAGACCTGGGGGTCCTGGTAGACAGGAGGATGACCATGAGCCAGCAATGTGCCCTTGTGGCCAAGAAGGCCAATGGCATCCTGGGATGCATTAGAAAGGGTGTGGTTAGTAGGTCAAGAGAGGTTCTCCTCCCCCTCTATTCTGCATTGGTGAGGCCACATCTGGAGTATTGTGTCCAGTTCTGGGCCCCTCAGTTCAAGAAGGACAGGGAACTGCTTGAAAGAGTCCAGTGCAGAGCTACAAAGATGATTAAGGGAGTGGAACATCTTCCTTATGAGGAAAGGCTGAGGGAGCTGGGTCTCTTTAGCTTGGAGAAAAGGAGACTGAGGGGTGACCTCATCAATGTTTACAAATATGTAAGGGGTGAGTGTCAGGGGGATGGAGTTAGGCTTTTCTCAGTGATGACCAGTGATAGGACAAGGGGTAATGGGTGTAAATTGGAGCATAGGAGGTTCAAGGTGAATATCCGAAAAAAATTTTTTACTGTAAGAGTGACAGAGCCCTGGAACAGACTGCCCAGGGAGGTTGTGGAGTCTCCTTCACTGGAGACATTCAAAACCCACCTGGATGAGTTCCTGTGTGATGTACTCTAGGTGACCCTGCTCTGGCAAGGGGGTTGGACTAGATGATCTCTCGAGGTCCCTTCCAGCCCCTAAGATTCTATGATTCTATGATTCTATGATTCTGTGATTCTATGACATTGTATTTATACAGCAAGCACTCTCATTCAGGTATCTCGGTTTTTGGAGGTCATATAAAAAAATAAAGTCAAGATACCTGGAAGAAATTATAATTTCTAAACAAAACGAACAGCTGAAAGCAATCATAGAAACAAAATAAACTCAAAATGAACCTATGCAGAACTAAAACTGGACAGCTCCAAAACCAGGAAAGATTATCTGTAGGATACCTTAGCAGTAGCCAGTACGTGCATACCCTGGAAAGCTTTTTTTGCTTTCACAGATTATCTTGACATAAAGCTTAATTTTTTTATTTTTTTTTTTTTCTGAGTATAGTCCTTATTCACCTTCACTGTGCTGTAAAACTGGTTTCTTTCCTCAGACGTGGTTTTATGTAATGAGTCTTCTAGATTATGTGATTTACCATGCCTTTTAATGAAAGTAACATTACTGTGAAGGCTTACAGGTAGTGGAGAATGTGGAAACTCATACTCTCAGGGACACTTACACATATCATATTTATTCTTTCCACTTTTTCTTGGGTTTCTCTTCAAATTTTTTTCACAGTTCTGGACCATAATCATGATGTTCAAGTGACTAAGGGGTCAAGATCTAAATACACCTCTGATTATGTCTTTTTTACATGATCTGCTTAGACAGCTGTGTTGCTTGGGAATAATACATCTGCAAACCAGAATTAAATATATTAACAATGGGAGAAAAAAGAATATGCTTGGTTTGGCTTTTTTTCAGTTAAAGATGTTTAGTAAAGAGGCATCATAAGCTGGTCACTGGAAGAATATACTGGGTAATCTTATATTCTGAATGGAAAAAAAAATGGAGTATACAGAAATATTATTTCACTTTCAGATTTTAAAGCCATTCATCTAAGTTTCAAGGGAATTTGGTGGGTTTTATTATTGATGTTAATAGAAATTTAAAATTTCTACTTTTTGTTTTGTTATTCTTTTTCAGTATTGCAACAGCATAAAAATAATGTACTGTGAATATTGTTTAAACTGTATTTTTTAAGAGAGAACATTGCATTTCTTCCAATCTTTATTTTTTTTATGAAAACAAAATACAGTAATCTTGTGTTTTGCAGATATATTTTTGTACGTATTCACTTGAAGGGTTGTAAATGTTTGCCTAAGAAGACAAAATCCAATAGAGATTATGTTTACTACTGTACCAAAAAATCCGAAAATTATATGTGATGCAAAGTGATAGCTGGGGGTTTTTTTCTTACTATGCACAGAAATTCAATAATGTCTTTTTCTTGCTTGTAAAGGGTAGTATTTTGGTATACTAGTAGCCTACTATTGGTTGTACCAGAGGAAGTGCATAATTTTAAATGTATAACATTTACTTCAGACTAATAATCCTCATACATTTTTTATTTATTTTTTCCCCCCCTCTTGTAACATGGTCCAAGTTCAGAATTATGTGGTATGTATTTCCTTACTATTCAGGAAAAGCTACATTTATTGAGGAAGTCAATAAAAGCAAGCAATGTTACTAAGCTAATGGGGCAGTGTCATTTTACTCTCATTTGCAGGATGCTTACATAGTAAATCTAGTAAAAGAAAAAAATAACATCTACTTCAAATATGAGGCAAGCAAAGAATGAATTACTGTTCACTTTAGATGAAATGAGAACCAGAGGACTGACAATCTGGTCAAGCATGGGATACTTCAAAAGATATTTTCTTTCAAAAACAATGCACAAAGAAGTAAAGACTTCATCATATTCATGGACATGTGGGAAAGTTTTTTTGTTTTCCATATATTTTATCAGTTCTGAAAGTAGAGAAAGAGCACACCAGTTAAATTTCATTGCTGTAAAAGCAGATTGTTCCTTTACTTAGCTGACATAAGTAAAAGTAACCTGTGTGACCTCAGCTTTCTGGCTTTTATGGAACAATAATAATTTTCTGACAGAACCAGTTTGCAGGGTTCTCACATGTCCACCACAAAGAAAAATTGTATGTCATCTTGCTTTTATTATATCCGTCAGCTGACTGCCCATTTGTTGTGGAATGTCTGCTGTGACAGAGGGCTGTGACTCTATTCGGCTGTAATAGATTGCCTATAGTGCATTTAGTGACTCTGGTACCTGTTGCTGGTTCTTTTTCCAGGTCAACTGGCTGCAGGTACATGTGAGATTGTTACTTTGGACAGAGATAGCAGTCAGCCCCGAAGGACTATAGCCCGACAAACAGCTCGCTGTGCATGTAAAAAAGGACAGATTGCCGGTACAACAAGAGCAAGGCCAGCCTGTGTTGATGGTAAGAAGCAAACATCTCTTCAATCAGTTTCTGCCAATACAAGAGTGGTGTCTCATAAAAAAAAAAACAAAAACAAACAAACAAAAAAAAACAAACCAAACAAACAAACAAACAAGCAAAAAACTCTATAGAGAGATTTTCATGTGTCCCAACCAGCAATGGCAATGCCATTAAAATTCCTTAAAAAGGTGTTACTGACAAATCATATAGGTATTTCAGTTAATTTTTTTTTAATTGGAATTTTAACTTTTGTTTTAGCTTTATGTGTAGTTGAATGTTAAGGGCATGGTGCTGGTATATTTCGCATGTGATGATAAGAGACGCAGTGAAATGCCATTCTTTCCTCCCCTATCTTTAATTCCATGCAACATTTAGAAAAAAAAAACCAAAACAAAACACCAAACACAACACTACAAAAGAGCTCCAAAGGTTTTCTGCCCCTAGGAAGCTAATGTGACTGTTCCTGTGTGATAATTAATGTTGTTGAAGAAAATACTGATACTGTTTGGAATATAGTATCTGAATATCCCTCGCATGTCCAGCATTCTCTCTCTCTTTAAAATGATGATTCTTTAGGATTCACTGGAGATGCAGTGGTAGCATGCAGCTGGAAAACTGCTGACATACAGGGGGGTATGAAAGTATTTAACTTTGAAATAATTTTTGAGACAAATTAATTTCTGTGTTAGAGCTAAATAAGATGTTAACAATGGGACAATCTTCAAGATAAGCCTGCCAGTGCAAGGCCATTAGCAAATGTTCATACAAAAACAAATATTGGGGACATATTGAAAATAGTTTATTCATAATGGCATGTTTTGATATAGACTTAGCTAAAAAATAGTACAAACGATGCTTTTATATATAACTATAAAACAATTCACAGATTGTCTTTGAATAATGACTGGTTTGAGTTCTCAAATAAAAATGTTACTGAGAACACCCTTATGTTGCCTTACAATTTGGTCTTACCAGTCATTATCAAAGAATACAGCTCAAAGGAGATTTCAGAGCCTATCCACAAAGCTAAATACAGAACATGATGCACATTCTATTTTTGCATTTTCCTGTCACTGTTTTTGGTACTCTGCAAGACAATTTCTTAGCTGTCTCTTTTGTAATGTGATACTACAGCCAGTAATTATTTTCTTTCCTCCTTATTGTAAGACCTTAAGGCTTAATTACTTAAGAAGGTATGATTTAATTGTGTCATTCATAGTTGTAACTTTAGCAAAAATACTTATTAGCAATTAAACAGCTTAACATGTGTTTTCCATTTTAAAACAGTGAAGTTGTAAGAGTTGTGCATCATCTGTGAACTCTAGTTTTTCTTTTCACCCAATGGAGAGCAAAATGCACCTTCTCAGAGTAATTAATCTCGTTTTAAGTACCTAGGATAAATCAGATGTAGCACTCTGGTCCTTATTGCTTTTCTGCCTCACCTTAAGACACCTGCAGTGGTGAGACTTTAGAAAGCTGTACATTTCAGTAAGAAGACATGACTACACCTCTTCCTCCAATTGCTATGTTAACTTAGTTCCCAAGTATGGAGGGTTTGAGGTAATTTAATTTTTTGAAAAAAATTATACATGCATTTATTTATGCATTTTATTAGTTATTTAGTTATTTAGGAGTCACAAGAAAGGGCTATTTAAAATTCTGCTTTTGCTTTCAATGTCCTTGATAACCATTTTATGAAAACAGAGAACTGGGTGACAGGATCTGTGGTTAGATATTGAATAATCATGAAGAGTTCTTTATGTAATATTCACATTTGAAAGACTAGTAGGAAGCTCATCAGTTGAAAAATAGATCTTCCCAGTAACTTATATGTCTTAGTATTATAATTCATTTTTTAAAGCTATATGTTTCCTGGATCTCTGAAATGCAAGTGTCAATTGTTGTAGCAAAAAGAGTGAGTAATTTAAGGGCTCTTAAACCTACAAACATCATCTGAAATTGCAGTCGACAATGTAGCTCTTATAGAAAGTCCTGAGTTGATTACCAAAATCCACTCTGATTTCCACTGCTACATCAGCTACGGTATTTGCCTAAGAAATGAAAGAGACTATATGTCAGCTAGATAAAACTGGAATTCTTAAAAATTGAAAATGCAGTGTTTAGGACTTGATCTGAGCAGAGCATGAGGAACAGATATTTTTCTTGAAATGTTACTGTGGGATGGAGAGTACTGATTTACTCTTTATATTTTTCTAGCAGTCTTTAAGTATGGCAGATTACTAATGTAATCTTAAAAAATGGCACCAATACTCACCCTGATTTCAAGCTTGATTTAGTGTTGATTGCTTCATTCCTAGACCCACAGTGTCATAATGTATGTTTGGTATGTTTGGTTGTGATGTAATTTTTATTCATGGCTGTAGGTTTTGTGATATAATGACAGTAGTTTGCCTGCTCTTTCAGTTATATTATTATTATTTACAGCTAGCATTCCCTAGTTCCTTTTTTGTGATCAAATTTCACAGCAATGACCTCAGTTGCATTAATTTGACAAGATATTATATTTCAACTTAGCATCTGGTTTATCACTGGAGTAGTTTCCCTCTGTATCAGTCAAGCTTCATCAGTTTTTTAAGCTGGAGTCTGAGAGGGATAGTAATTATTCTCTATTTTTATCCAGTACCTTTGCTACTTTAAAATTGTTTTAAAGCAAGTGACAAAAGTTCTTTGATAACAGTGTGTGTACACCCATGCTTACCCATATTTTGTGTACTTTCACAATTGTATCTATTCAAAATTATCTTTTTTTGTGCTGAAGCGTTTCATAGAATGCAAATCTTTTAACCTGAGAAGAGTGGGATGAACATTTAAATGTTGAAATAGATTACAGCAATTTTGTCCAATGTGTATTTATAGCTTGAAAATAAACAGTAATTTTCTCCATAAAATAGAAACAGATGATGAGAGGAAAAGTGGTATGAGAGAAGTGGTTTAATTGCTCAAGAAAATTAGGATGGCAATGTTTAATTTGCTTACCTGATTTCTGTGATTAGAATATTATCCTGCTCTGGATTTGAGCTTTGGCTATTTTTATGTCTACAAAGTGCTATGAGAAATCAAAGGACATTGATCCTGGTATACAAAATTCCTAGAAGTGGAATAGCTGAAGCTCAGGTAACTGAATTCAAAGTGTTCAGATATTTTATGTTATGAATCAAAGTATTTTATTTTTAGTTTAAAAATCTTAAAAAAAAAAAATAGTTATTTTGCAAGCATTGTAGCAATATTACTTGTCATAGAGCTTTAATTGGTATAATTTGTTCATACATTATGATTAACCTGCTTTTCAGTTGGCAGTGACTGATTTTTTTGTAACACAGAAACTCAGGATCCACAAGGAAGCCACATTAGTTTCAATCAATAATTCTCTGCTCTTCTTATATATCTCTAGGAGTCTACGGGGAAGTGTAGGGGTCAGAACGGATCATTAATAGGATCCTAGGTCATGCACTTGAAACAACACTGCCTAATACCTGGAGATCTTCATCATTCTAAAGTACCTTAACCATACTGGGGAGGTAGAAAAAAAAGAGGTCTATAATGGTTTTCAGAAACAGGAATTTTAGCATTATAATATTTTCCTGCATTTGCAAAGGTGATATTTTATTATTTTATAGTATTTTATTTTATTATTTTATCCTGATTTTATTGCAGATATTTGCAACTCTTTCATGTAGATATTACACATTTTACTTTTGTTGCGTTTAAGATACGTCCATTTAAAGCAAGTAAAATCAAAAGGCAAAGAGGGATTGATAGGAAATCAAAAGGAGACTGAATAGACATAGACTGTCACATAGACATTTTGCTGGACCAGAAGTGGTATGCTGTATAATGTGAGAGATTTAAGTCTAGGGTGGGTGTGGGACTGTTTGGCCATGAAAATGGTCAAAGGGCTGGAAGACCTCTTCTGTGAAGAAAGGCTGAGAGAGTTGAGATTATTCAGCTTGAAGAAGAGAACACAGCAGGAAGATCTTATTGCTGTCTTTCAGTATAGGAAGGCCTGTAGTGACAGGACAAGGGGTAATGTTTTTTAACTAAAGCAGGGTATATTTAGATTTAAAATAAGAAATAAATATTTTACAGTGAGAACAGTGAGATGCATGGGGGGGAACAGATTGTTCCATGAAAAATAGAGAAGGCCAGGTTCAAGGCCAGGTTGGATGGGGCTTGGAGCAACCTAGTCTAGTGAAAGATGTCCTTGCCCTTGACTGGGTTGTTGGAGGACCCAAACCATCCTACAATTTTATGGTTCTGTTTGACCCTGGACAAAGTGGATTAATTACATTATGGTGGTAGCAAAACAATTGGCTGTTCTGCTAGGTAGTTATGAAGTTAAACAGATTAGAACATGCATTTAGCTTGCCATGGCATTCTTCTTGATAGATTGGAAGGAGTGACCGCTGCTTTAAACTGGAGAATATTTTTCATGTAATTAGTATTTTTTCTAAAATTATCCTAATATAACTTTGCTTGTTGCCTGGGCTTTGAAAGACAATATGATCCATTTTCTGTTTTTCTTTTTTCTATTTAGATAAAGAGTCTGGGTATCAAAAAACCCACTGTAAATGCTAACATTTCAGTTGTGGAATCACAGAAAAGCTTAGAATCTTCTTACGTTTTTTAAGATTCAGGTACACTAAACCATTAAACTCATTGAATGGTCCCTGTGTATAGAAGACCACCTGTCTAGGAGATATCTAGAACCCCTGAAAATGAAACACCCAATTTGTAATTTCTTAACATTACTACTGGGTATGAGGCCACATAGAATAGGAAAGAAATGTGCATGTGATGGTTTAATATTTTTCTGGGCATAGTCTGATTGTGGTTATGAGTTTAATTTCCAAAGAACAAAGCAGGTTTTATTTATAATCAGGGCTTTCAAACAATCCTAGAACTTCTAACTAGTGGTCGTATTTAAGATGGCAGTGTTATAGTGTCTTTTTTTAATGAAGTATCTGAAGTGTTCTAAACAC